TTGGACGAGCTGTTATAAGTTGGGGTGATTGAGAATGCCTTTTTGGCATTTCTCTCAATAATAACATGGGAGAGGTCCCATTCATCTTATTGTTTTGATCCCAATCACTTCATGCTCCCTCCTTTATCTCTTTGTGTGGCTCCCCTTTTTATTTGCAGCCTAAAATTGTGGGGTGGCCCCCACTTATGTGGGAGGTCATCCCTTTATGTCCCCAAGTGTACACTTGGTCCTGAAAGTTGTATTTTCCGGACTGTTTTAACTATATTTCATTTTATTGGGTCAAATGAAATATGTGACATTCTCCCAATTAGTATGGCTTATAGAATGATTATACATTCCCCCATCTTTAATTTAGCGGTCTCCATAATTTATTATGGCTTTTATCTGTCAGTATGCCGGTACCGATAAATGGACTTTATATGCACAACGGTTACTCACATAGTTTCTTGGGCCCAACATGGACATCCACCATCATATAAATATTCTCTAGACCCAGATGAATATAATATGTGGTCCCGATAATACCGGGCGGCCCCCACTTCCGATGTGGGCCCCACGTGAATTTTACTATTCACGTAAAAGAAATGATAAAAATTTATAATCACGTAAAATGCGTTTATTCATTTCTCAGGGTTCAATACATAATTTGATAAAGTACAAATACTTGGGGGCGGTGTTTACACATACAAAACATAGAAACTAGAGTATGCATTAGATAACATTTGGATTGAGAGCTTATTATCGCCACACCCGTATGACGTAACCGGGTGGTGCGAGATTTCAATCACTCTGCCGGTGTACATGAGTGCTCAAAATTCATAAGTCCGTTTTTTCATTGTCAAAAAATAAGCATTAGTGAAAAAATAATGATAATGAATTAATAATGTATCTCAACTTACCGCACAAGTTCGTAGTTCTAATCCGCCAGACATCCGCACTCAAGGGTCTTGTAACGGAAGACTAGTCCCTCGAGATTAAAGCTTGATACAAGTCATACAACAACAACATCCAAGCCTTACTCCCAAAAGATATTGGGGTCGGCTAGCATGAATCGATACATGATATCACCACCAAAAGGAAAAGAAAGAAAATAAAGATAAAAAATATGCTATTATAAAAAGATAACATAAAACAAGATGAATATACCTAAAAAGATAAAATAAAAAGCATAAAAATAATGGTTATACATATAAGGATAAAAGAATAAAAAACAAGAAGAAAAAAGATGAGGGGAAATAATAATACGAGATCACTCCTTCACACGAATACCTGCCCTCGACTTTGCTCTCTCCAAAGCCATACCCTCATCCAACCCAAGAAGAAGCATATCATTTCGGACTCCCCTAATCCATGTCTGTTTGACTCTTCCTCTCTCTCATCTTCCCTGCCTCTTCTCCACACATCTCAACACGTCTGACAGGTGCATCACTCGGTCTTCTATGCACATGACCAAACCACCGTAAGCGAGACTCCCGCATCTTGTCTTCTATAGGTGCTACTCTCACCCTTTGTCTGATTGTCTCATTTCTCACGTGGTCCTTCCTAGTATGCCCACACATCCAACACAGCATGCGCGTCTCTGCCACACTCATCTTTTGAATGTGACATTGTTTCACCGCCCAACACTGTACGCCATACAGCAATGCAGGCCTAATTGTTGTCCTATAAAATTTACCCTTCAATCTAGTCGGCATACCCCTATCACATAGAAATCCTGACGCATTCTTCCACTTCATCCACCCTGTTCTGATTCTATGGGATACATCTCCATCTAGCTCACCGTCCTTCTGAATTATGGAGCCCAAGTAACGGAACATATCACTTACCGGTATCTCCTTACCATCTAGAGTAATTCCACTATTATCACTGCTTCTACCTCCACCAAACTTGCACTCATGTACTCTGTCTTGCTCTGACTTAGTCTGAAACCCTTGTTCTCTAATGTTTGTCTCAATACTTCCAACTTTGCTTTAAGACCCGATTGCGTCTCATCAATCAATACAATATCGTCGTCAAACATCATGCGCCACGGTATTTTGTCTTGAATTGACTTCGTAAGTTCATCCATGACTATGGAAAATAAGAAAGGGCTCAGAGTCGATCCTAGGTGCACTCCGATAGTAATAGGGAACTCCGCAGTCCTCCCTACATTAGTACGAAAACTTGTATTACAATCCTCATACATATCCATGATGATGCTGATATACTTGCGTGATATGCCATTTCTAGTTATGGCCCACCATAGAACTTCTCGAGGTACCCTATCATAAGTCTTTTATACCGACCAGTCTTCAACTAACGCTTTATCAACCCGAATATTCATAACTCCCATCGAGGAGATACCAATGAATTGTAAATGGGATCTTCCTCTCTCGCAGCTTTTCATGACAATCTCAAGGGGGTCACTTTTACCCTCAAAATCAATTGGCATCTTCTTGTTCGGCTCTGCATCAATTCCTCCTCAATCTCATATCGTCCATAAACACAGATGATTTGAATTGGAGTGGAGTAACTCACGAAGAAGTCTTGCTCCACCGGTGTTCTTTTTCTTTTATTTGGGTGGAGATGTTACACTCACGAGCATGAAGAAGAATAGGGATAATTGGTTAAATTCTCAAGCGACTAGACCAAAACGCTAGATTCAATGGCATTTAACATATTGATTGTTTGGGATCAAAAGCTAATTAGAAACACCAATTAACCAACACACATTATAGAAAATTAATCTGGTTAAAAAGTTATGTTGGTGGAAAATATCTCGGATAGAGAAACTGGTAGCAATTCAGTATAGTGAAAATAACGTCGGAAATACATGGGGGTGATGGACTATTTATAGGCATTCACCACAAGTCCAAATAATAATGCTACGTGACCTTGGCCTAATTTAATAACTAGTACTGACGCTAAAGGACCAGCAAACCCAATAAATAAGTAAACAAGCTCGGACCAATTTCCTCTAGCCGGGTTGTGTCCTGGGCCTGGTCGGGCCTAGGCTTTGTTCCAACAAGCCGATAGTACTGGATCCGCCCCGTTATCCCAACAAGCTAAATAGGAGTCAAATAAACAAAAAAATGGGTGAGAGGCTCCTAATCACCCAAAGCATAATTGTTGAAAGGTGGCATATTTGAGGCTCAGCTGAAAGGCTAACGACTCCCACATACATATATAGAAACAACAAATTAAACTCGGAGAACCACATAGATATATTTAGGAGTGGGCAAAAATACCGAAAAATCGGTATACCGCACTTATCGTGCCGAAAAATACCGGAAAATACCAAAATATTGGTATACCATGATTTTCGGTACGGTATCATACTAATTTATTTCGGTACGGTAATGGTAAATGTTTTCAAATACCGCGGTATACCGAAATAATACCGTATCGACTCCCTACCCAATTATCACTTTTAATTCTAAAATATTTTAAAAATCCATTACAATTTTGGGAAACCCAAAATTAATAATTAGGTTGGTTACAAATACCAAAATACATAAATAAAGGAACAATTTCTCAAATCCACTATAACCTTCTAGACTTCTACTACATAACATTAAATATTAGGTATAGTATTATTGAATTATTTAACCCTTTAACTAATGGTTTGTATGTATAGTACAACAATATTGAATTGGGGGTTGCTTTCCCGCCTCAAACCCCTCCAATAATACATATATACTAATAAAAGAACACAAACAATAAGGACCAAAAACTTTAATTAAAAACACTGTTACATTAAATAAGAAAGGGGTCGGGTCGGGCGGGCGTCTTTATTTGGGAGGGCAATTAATGGATGGGCCGAGGCGGTAGTTGTTTGGGTATCATCCGCCCCTTCATCTAGTGATGGCATGGAGCGGACGGGGGACAGTGAGTCGGAGGTGTTATCGGCAGAGATGGATCCTCTCCTCTCTTGTTCGTCTGCCATGCGCTGCATGGCTGCTGCCATTTCCCTCATCAGTTGAGGGTTTCTCCTTACATCATGCAGGATGATGTTCTCAAATTCCTGTGTGGCACTACCGCTGGTCTGCCCCCTGCATAGACCAACCTTCGGAGGATCCATTGCCTCTTCGACCCCTGGTAGCATAACTTGGTGTTGCTGAAGTGATTCTAGCCATCTTGTAGAAAGGTGGTGCTTAGATCAAAGGTTTTGCTTGGGATTTTTGTTCGGTTTCCCACAGACGGCGCCAATGTTGAGGTTTTATCCCGTAGATCCGAAAGCCCAACACACGCTTTGGATATTAAGGAGGTTTGGTTCGGTTTAGAAACTGTATAAAATAAAAGGTACTGAATTAAGGAGTACTTTGAAGCTAAATTGTATTAAGTAATTCGCTGATTACAATTGAACTGCCTGAACGGTACGTCGGTACGAGTTTGAATACAATACAAGAGAGATGATTCTATAGCTAAGCTCTGAGTATCAAAATGCTAACCCTTTACACTGTATTAAAGTCAGGTATTTATACTAGGGTGGGGATGGGTGAGAAGGACACATGACTGAATCCGGTAGGCTGTAACCTCTGCCACGTATGCACCCATGCCTCCACTTGCTGCTGCCATTCTTTGGCATTAAATGTGGCTCTCACTTGTTGGCCACCCGTTAGGGTAGTACGTTCGGTGTGCGGGACCCCCTTTGAAGGTGTTTGTTGCCAATACTTTGTTTGATTGTCTCAAGTGGACAAATCTACCCGAATGCCATTCAGGTATTCCCCGCTCGGGACGTCGTGAACCTTCCTGGTTTCGTTGGGCCTCCTGTTCTCCTGGGCCTTCTTTATGCTTCGGGCCGGGTGTATTGGGCTTGGGCCCAATACCCCAACACACTCTTAATTTCTTACTTTATACGGAGTATATCAAAAAATTATCAAATTTGATTCAGGTTTTTGCGACTTTGTAAAGTTTTTAATGTAGTTTCTGAATATGTAATTTTTTTTCCCTAAAAATAATTTGAGTGCGGACATGAATCCGTTTGGTTTATCGTCGATCAAATATCGTTAACCGTAAAGGGACAATAAAAAGGCGACCGAGATAGTATTATTTAACTAATGGTTTGTATGTATAGTACAACAATATTGAATTGGGGTTGCATTCCCGCCTCAAACCCCTCCAATAATACATATATACTAATAAAAGAACACAAACAATAAGGCCAAAAACTTTAATTAAAAACACTTTTACATTAATTAAGAAAGGGGCTGGGTCGGGCGGGCGTCTTTATTTGGGAGGGCAATTAATGGATGATGGGCCGGGAGATGGATTAGAGAGCAGCGGATCCTGCTTTAAGCTTCTTGGTGATAGAAGCGATGTATTTGCCTTGGTGGAAGGCCTGCTCCAGCTCCAGCTGGCTTGGCTGCCGGGACCCGTCCCCCGCATAAGTCCCCGAACCGTAAGGGCTCCCGCCCTTCACTTGCTCCATCTCAAACATGCCCGCTCCAAAGGTGTACCCGATCGGCACGTATATCATCCCGTGGTGAACCAATTGAGTAATTGCTGTTAGCCTGTAATCATCATTCATAATCACAATTAATAATTATGTGTTTCCGGATGTACACTCAATAATAATGTGTAATTAGTTCTTTCTGCATATATGCCCTGCCCCCACAATGTCTAGATGACTAGATCGAAAGAAACGTCATACCAAAGTTAGTTCTTCTTTATCTTTAATAATGTAAAGGATTTTTATTAATTCAGTATTCGAAAAAGGACCCGAGAGTGGAAATATATCGATGGAAATATATAAATTGGACTATACAGATAGAGAGTGAGGTTTTTGTCCACGTTACTTGCAGATGTCCTATGCATTTTTAGCATAATAACTTTTTATCGCAGTTGCCAGAATTCAAATTTGAAACCTTACCATTGTGGCACTCACTCGCTATGAGTTGAGCCACGCCCACCGGTACGGTTTATTCATTTAAAGGAGAGAATTGAAGGAACTAACGCGGTAGTTTCTTGGCCACCGCCCTGGGAACCGGTGCTGTAGAAAAGGCCGGCGGGCTTGCCGGCTAACGCCTGGGACCTCCACAGACCGCCGGTGGCGTCCAGAAACGCCTTGAACTGAGCAGCCATCATTCCGTATCTGGTGGGGAACCCAAAGATGAAACCGTCGGCTTCCGGGAGGTCGTGGGGGGATATGATCGGAACGTCACTCTTCGGGGGTGCGCCCAGTTTTCCGAGGATATCATCGGACAGGGTTTCTGGAACCTGTTCCATTCACATTCATTCCATTAATATCACAATTTTTGCGGTCTCATTCAATACATGGCCTTCCACAAAAAAATTTCCACCCAAATTAGTGACACAGACCTGAAAGAGCTTCGCCTCTACGCCTTCAACGGAGTCGGCTCCTTTCTTGATTTCATGCGCTAACTTTTCAACATGTCCGTAAGTGGAGTAGTACCTGCCACATTTTAAAGCAGATCAAATAACGGATTAGATCAGACTTTTTACAATTCTACGCATAGAACAAACATCTATCAAATTAGATGAGAAGAATTCATTTCAATTTAATACAAAAAAAAATTCCCGAGTAGTATTTTCGAGTAGCAAAGTAGCCTCAGTTCAACATCAATTTTTTTTTTAGGTAAAGTGAAGTTAAAATTAAAACAACAAATCATTACGGTGTACGAACTTAAGGAATTACGTACTCCGTATGACATTTATTTCTAACTTACCGACCAATAGAGATAAATTAGTAAAATAATAATATTATGGAAAAATTGAAAATAATAATCTCAACTATTGATTATTTTTTGTATAATCTCAACTATATGGACCGTCCGCCAATAATGGTCCATGACCAGATATTATTTGCTATAACAAGTGAATTTTAAACGTAAAAATTAAATGTTAGGATTATATATAGGAATTATTTGCTACTAGACCATCAATATATCTCTTCTCATTCACTTTAGAAACTATATGAATTTATTTATAGCCGATCACTTCGAATCATTATCGGCGGAAGGTCCCCAAAATTGGGGGATTATTCTGAAATAATTCATAGTTAGGGGTTACTATCAATTTTTCCTAATATTATTTTACCAGGAAGTCAACGCTTAGCGATAATATATGGGCTCTGGGTATAAGAAAATATTAGGTACTTAAACAATCGATCGATCGAGAAACCAAGAAGGCTTATGAAACAGAGTTCTTGACAAATCATAAAATAGTCAAACTGAAAAATGAATAAATTCAGAGACGAGGCTAGAATTTAATGTTTTATTTCTGCGGTAAAGTTGATAGAAATATACGAGATGCCAGATCAGTTGAAAGTAGAAAAACTTATTAGAACAGAAATATTAAAATATTTCCAACACAGGGAAAAAACTATATACATAGAATAGAGATACATACACAATGTGGAGTTTGGTGGCCATGATAGGATTTGCTGGTTTTAATTTGATGTATGAAGAAATGTAGAGATGCAGAGAGTTGGAAGAAGGCTCCGCTTATATAGTGGTGGGACGAGTTGACCACATCTCATTAAAATATAATAAAGGAATTCAATTCATTACAGCTTGCTGCTCTACAAAAGTCACAACTAAATGTTTGACCCTGATAACGGATTAGCCGGTGTCATGCTCACGTCACTATGACTTAAGTTCTTTTTAATTTTTATACATAATTGTTTTTACCAAAATGCTATTCGTACACAACAAATGGCACAAATTGTTTAACACGCCGATAATTATACGTGCACATACAATTTGACCAGAATATAAAATGTTGTGTACAATGATGTCATTGATGTGTACACAAAGCATCATTCATTTTTATTGATGTTAACTTTTTAGTAGGGCTAGACATATAGGTTTTCGTTTCGGTTTTTATCGTTTTCGGTACGGTTCGGTTTGAAACGGGTTGGAAGAATTATTACCAAATAAAAACCATACTATTTTTCGGTTTGGCCTTGGTTCGGTTTGGCTCGGTTTGAATTTGTTAACTTTCAATAATATATGAAGTTTTTTTGGAATTTCTTTAGTTCAGTTCGATTTTGTTCGGTTTTTATCGGTTTCGTTTCAGTTCGGTTTAATACAGTTTGGAAGAAACAGTACCAAACTTAAACCAAATTGCATACGGTCCGGTTTAGGTTCAGTTTAGTTTGGTTTGCTACGGTTCGATTCGGTTAGCCCAAACCGTTATGTCCACCCCTACTTTTTAGTATGGTCTAAATTGTCTAATCTCATTTAATTAATCTGTTTAAGTCTAGTTTGATTTGATTTGAACTAAATTGATTTGGTGTGATAATGTAGTAAATTCTATTTGTGCTTTATAATTAGGGAGAATTTTCTTCCACACACAAAAAATTAGGGAGAATTTGCATTTGCATCTCATACGTGATACTCCCTCCGTCCCTAATAACTTTGCCAAGTTTGACCGGCACGGGGATTAATAAAGTAAAAACTGTGTGGTTAAGGTTTGTGCAGAGGAGAGAGAATTAACTGGAACCACAAATTCTTTACTTAAATGGGAAAGTGACAAAGTTAATGGGACATTTAAAAAAGGAAAATTGGCAAAGTTATAAGGGACGGAGGAAGTACTTGACTTTACATTCTATTATCAAAATCATTAGTGTTTGCACAACATTCACTCTACAATCATTTGACTTTGCACGTCACACTTTCACAATTTTGAACTAATAGAGTGCATACATTAATGATTTTAAAAACATGGTACAAAGTAAAATATCACTCAAAATATAGAATGTAAAGTCAAATTATGATATGAATTATGATGTGGTATGATACGACTTATGCTCTTGTATTATATGGTCTGTGACCGAAATCAATCCATTTTTTTTAAATAAAATCAGTCCAATTTGAAACACGGTAATAGCGGTAAACACGGTCAATTTGAAACACTGATTTTTAAATAAAATCAGTCCAATTTTGTGAAGAATAAATTACGTAGTGTAAAATTGCGATTCATTTCGCCGGTTTTCAAATCATCAAGAACAAGTTGATATAAATGGAAACATAGTCAAAAACGCTCTTAGGCTTTTTCATATTTAATTCCAAGCCCGTAAGGCATATATTTATAGTTACAATAGAAATTGCTAGAGAAATAATAGAGGGAAGAATTATTGGACATGTCCCAATAATAATTCCAGCGTACTAGTTGATACATTGAATACAAGATCAATAATAGGAATATATAATACATAGTAATAATAATAATAATAATAATAATAATAATAATAATAATAATAATAATAATAATAATAATAATAATACCCCCCCTCAAGTTGGAGCATGGAGGTCCAAAATGCCCAACTTGCGTAGGAGATAGAGAAATTGTGTTTTTCCCAAGGCTTTTGTGAAAATATCTGCCAGTTGAAAAGTAGTAGGCACGTAGGACGGGGAGATCACATCCTCCTGAATAGCGTCACGAACAAAATGGCAATCAATTTCAATATGTTTCGTACGTTCATGGAAGACTGGATTTTTAGCCAAATGGAGTGCAGACTGACTATCGCAGAAAAGCGGGATAGAGCTAGGGTGGTGAACGCCCAGACTAAGTAGTAGAGCTTTTAGCCACTTGATTTCGCATGTAGCAGCTGCCATTGAGCGGTATTCTGCTTCGGCGGAAGAACGTGAAACTGTATGCTGCTTCTTGGTTTTCCAAGAAATGGGAGAGTGACCAAGAAAGACGACCCATCCGGTCAAGGAGCGACGAGTGAGGGGACATGCCGCCCAATCAGAATCACACCATCCTTGCAAATGAAGTTTGCTATCCGAGCGTAGTAGAATGCCTTGTCCAGGCGAACCTTTCAGATAACGGACCACTCGGAGAGCGGCGTCCCAATGATCCTGCCGGGGTTGGTGCATAAATTGGGACAGAATATGTACCGAGTAAGCTAAATCTGGGCGAGTGACTGCCAAATAAATAAGACGACCCAATAGACGGCGGTAGGGTTCAGGATCAACGAGAAGAGAACCGGTTGCTTGTGACAATCTGTGATTTTGCTCGATTGGAAAGGAAGCGGGTTTAGCTCCGAGCAAACCAGTTTCAGAGATGATGTCCAATGTATATTTACGTTGTGTGAGAAATAGGCCTGTCGGGCTCCGAGCGACCTCAATTCCTAAAAAATATTTGAGAGAACCCAAGTCTTTCATGTGAAAACAGGAGGACAAATACTCTTTGAATGCATGAATAGCACCGGAGTCATTCCCGGATATGAGGAGGTCGTCAACATAGACAAGGACATTTAACTGTGCATGATCGCGAGTGTGGGTAAAAAGAGAGTAATCTGCATAGGATTGTAAAAAACCATACGCTTTCAAAGCAGTAACAAGCTTAGCAAACCAACATCGGGGAGCTTGTTTAAGTCCATACAAAGACTTTTGTAGACGACAGACGAGACCCGTATTAGGATTATGAAAACCGGGCGGGGTGGTCATATAAACCTCCTCATGAAGATCACCGTGGAGGAAAGCATTGTGAACATCCATCTGATGTAATTCCCAATGTTTGGAAGCTGCAACAGCTAAAAAAGTACGAACTGTAACCATTTTAGCTACAGGGGCAAAAGTTTCATTGTAGTCTAGTCCAGCTACCTGTCTGTTACCAAAAATTACCAGCCGTGCTTTGAGACGTTCTATACTTCCATCAGAATGATATTTGATTTTATAGACCCAACGACACCCCAAAGCACGTTTTCCGGGAGGAAGAGGGACCAAAGTCCATGTATTATTATCCTCAAGAGCCTGAATTTCAGCCTGCATGGCCTCACGCCACCCAGAATGGGCATAAGCTTCGTGAAAATTGCGCGGTTCATAGCCTGCAGAAACGGCTGCGAGAAAAGCTCGATGACGATCAGAAAATTTGTCACAATTAACATAATGTGCTATAGGGTAAGGCATACCTGAGGGGAGCTGTGGAGCGGGTGGAGCGTGGGATGGACTTGGAACAGTAACTGTATTAGAGGTATAATCTCGAAGCCTGACAGAAGGAAATTTTTGACGTTGACCTCGTCCAAGAGGTGGTTCGATACTGGAGGTTGCAGAATTATCGTGTATGACCGGACCATCATTGGATGTCATCTGCTGTGTAGGAGGAAGCTCAGATGTATCCAAAGTTTGAGATAAGGTTGACAGTGAACCATCATTGGATTGCATGGACGGTTCGTCATCTAGCATGGGAATAAATGGCAAGGGATTTTCCTCTTGTAAAAAATTTGGGGAAATATTGGACTCTTCACGTATAGGTAATTTTGAAGTGGTAGGTTGGGCAAATGGAAAAGTAGTTTCGTAAAATTTGACATCCCGTGATGAAAAGAATTCTTGAGTGTCAAGATCAAATAAACGCCAACCCTTTTTGCCAAATATGTAACCCACAAAAATACATTTCCGGGAGCGACTAGAGAATTTGTCGCTCTGAGCGTGCTGATTATGTGCAAAGCAGAGACACCCAAACACACGGAGGCTTTTATAATTTGGCGAAGTGCCATATAAAACCTCAAACGGCGTTTTTTGATTTAGGACAATGGAGGGCGTATAATTAATGAGATGAGCTGCAGTGAGAACGCACTCTCCCCAAAAATAAATGGGCAATTGTCCTTGAAATCTTAATGCCCGAGCAACATTAAGAATATGACGATGTTTCCTTTCCACCCTACCATTTTGTTGGGGAGTCCCTACACACGATGTTTGAAAAACAATGCCATTATCACGGAAATAATTTTTTAAACAGTTAAACTCTGTTCCGTTATCACTTCGAACCATCATAATTTTGCTACCAAACTGCCTTTCAGTCAGTGCCACAAAATTCATAAACATGCGATTAACCTCTGTTTTATCAATCAACAAATAAACCCAAACTGCTCGAGAAAAATCATCCACAATTGTAAGGAAATATTTAGCTCCACTAGAAGAGGGAGTTTTGTAAGGCCCCCAAACATCGCAGTGGATGAGCTCAAATATTCTGGTTGTTTTATTTTCACTGGTAGGAAATGGATTTCTAGACTGTTTAGCCCGGTGACAAATTTCACAGGGTGCATGCAATTTTTTTTTAGGTGCATGCATGGGAAATAACCATGACATAATTTTTTCTGAAGGATGTCCCAATCGTTGATGCCAAATATCCACTGATAGAGAAGAATCATTGATGACAAGAGCTTGTACTGTTCCCCTTGCACAAAAGTAGTAAAGGCCATCCCTACGCTCACCCATTCCAATCAGCTTCCTCATTTGAAGGTCCTGTATAGCACACATGTTAGAGGTGAATTGGACAAACCATGAATTGTCATCGATAAGTTGGGACACCGAAAGTAAATTGCAAGTTAACTCCGGAACATAAAGAACATTATGGAGACAAATATGTTCTGATAGGCATACACTTCCTGTTTTGCTAGCAAACGCTTGTTGACCATTGGGAAGCCCAACTGGTCGTGGAGAAATATCCCGAATATTAGATAGGCATATAAAATTTCCTGTAACATGATTAGAAGCCCCACTATCAATTATCCAATAAGATGTATCAAACGTACCGTGCATTTGGTTACCATGAGCTGTGGGCTGACCAAAAGCAGCCACAAGGGTTTGCCATTGATCATTTGAAAAACCTGATGTGCTGGCAGCTGGGTTAAAGGACAACCGTCCAGATGTATCTACTGCCATAGAGTGAGTTTGTGGCGCACTAGGTGGCCTGATTTTGCTGGAAGTGGGTCCATCTTCACATGGGACAACACCTACTGGAAATTGATGGGCAGCTGCAATGTTTTCGGTGTACTGAAATGTTTGTCCAGCCAGCTGGTATGGCGACGTGGAGATTGCAGACACGGCAGATTGCACAGGTCCTGGAGCAGCGGCAGCAAGGACGTGAGTCTGGGTCTGCTTTTGGCTTGGTGTGTAACGTGGGATCCTAGGCATTGAATTCCCGTCTCCTCTTCGAATCATTTTTTGATTTTTTGTATTTCTTTCATTTAGCCTGGGACGCGTACCCCACCACTCGGGATACCCTACTATCTCAAAACAGCTTGCATTTGTATGACCACGTAAATTACAATGGGTGCAATGTAATCCAGATTTATCAATTTTTTCATATCTCCTTGGGTTTGGTACATCCATACGTAATGCAAAGCCCATAACTTCATGATTTTCATCACGTTCTTTGCTTTGCATTATGTCACGCACCCTTTCTTCTTGAGTAATTTGTTGAAAAGCCCGATTGAGCGTGGGAAGTGGGGTTTGAGAAAGTAGCTGCGAACGAATTTGTCCATAGAAATCGGTAGATAATCCCATCAAAAATTGATGAAATCTCTCCGATTCTCTACGTTGTTCGTGTAGAGCGTTAACCTTACAAGTGCATTTACCACATGAGCAACTTATCAATGGTTCATAGTTATTGAGTTCGTCCCACAAAACTTTTAGTTTTCCGTAATAGGTGGCGACAGATTGTGTTTTAGACTGCTCACATCTAGCAATATCTGTTTTGACTTGGTAAATTTTAGGACCGTCAATCACCGAAAACCGTTCTTTTAAATCATTCCACAACAATTTTGCATCATCAAATTTAGACAAGGTAAGTTTTACCTCCGGTGATATGACGTTCATAATCCATGACACCAACATTGAATGAATGGTCAACCAATCTTCCTCCGTACATGGCGGCACCGGCTCATTGATCACTCCATTGACAAAAACAAATTTACGTCTAGCACGAAGAGCAAGGCGGACAGAACTTGACCAATCGTCATAATTTTCCCCGGTTAGACGGACTGGAGTAATAAAGTCTCCTGGCCTATCTTGAGGTCCTAAATAGAAAGGTGAGGTAAAGTCTATTTTTGAAGAAGAGGATGTATTCTCATCTCCGACTGCCATGGAGAAAGGAGAATAATAAATTTTACTCACTTGAATATTTCAAGGCTCTGATACCATGATATAAATGGAAACATAGTCAAAAACGCTCTTAGGCTTTTTCATATTTAATTCCAAGCCCGTAAGGCATATATTTATAGTTACAATAGAAATTGCTAGAGAAATAATAGAGGGAAGAATTATTGGACATGTCCCAATAATAATTCCAGCGTACTAGTTGATACATTGAATACAAGATCAATAATAGGAATATATAATACATAGTAATAATAATAATAATAATAATAATAATAATAATAATAATAATAATAATAATAATAATAATAATAATAAATTTTACTCACTTGAATATTTCAAGGCTCTGATACCATGATATAAATGGAAACATAGTCAAAAACGCTCTTAGGCTTTTTCATATTTAATTCCAAGCCCGTAAGGCATATATTTATAGTTACAATAGAAATTGCTAGAGAAATAATAGAGGGAAGAATTATTGGACATGTCCCAATAATAATTCCAGCGTACTAGTTGATACATTGAATACAAGATCAATAATAGGAATATATAATACATAGTAATAATAATAATAATAATAATAATAATAATAATAATAATAATAATAATAATAATAATAATAATACAAGTGCCAAAAAGTCGTTATCGTTTGTCCCGGGGCAGATCCATCGTTCACGCACAATTCAAGGTAATCCGGAAATACCATAGCGATTAAGCATCTAACGATCAAGATTAAGCAAAACCTTTTGTGTTACTCTTGTCATCTTGTGTATTTGTGTTAGTTGTGTACCTTATAGGATTAGGACTCGAGGAATTATCAACTCTTGAATTAGAATATTCGTTATTAGAATTACTTTTAATAGGTCAGGTAATGGCGTGTAGACAGTAGACCTTATCCTTACTTAGCTTGAACAATTTTCTCTAATATTTTAAAAATAGAAAAATCGATAAAAATTACACTTCATACAATTTTTCTCAAAACAATTCTTTTACTAAATGTGTTGTTCGAAATTCTTAGTCTCATTTCCAATTTTGATAAAAGGGAAATAACAAAACTCATTTCACGGGGAGTATGTAAAACTTATTATCATTTGTTGAAGGGAAAAGTGTCAAATAGATTCTCGAACTTACATCAAAAGGTCAAATAAGCCTTTATAAAGAAGGCATTGTTCGGACGTCTCCATTTGGACAGTTCCAGGTGGAGTTTTTTAATAAATTTTTTTGAGTATATTATTCATTAAGTCTAGTTTACTCATATCAGATTTCAGCTAACAATTCAATCGGGAAGGCATTCAAATGAATTTTTGAAGATAATTGCGCTTTTAGCTGCGCACTTATCTTCAAGAATTCATTTGAATGCCTTCCTGATTGAATGTGTAGCTGAAATTTGGTATAAGTAGATTAAACTTAATGAATAATATGCTCAAAAAAATTCATCAAAATATTCCACCCTGCAGGAATCGCCCCAAATGGCGACGGCCGGACAGAGCCTCCTATATAAGGGCTTCTATGACCTTTTTTATGTATGTTCGAGGATCTATCTGACCATTTTCCCTTTGTTGTAATAATAATACAAGTATACTACGCATAATTATTGCGAAAATTTTAAAATGCACGTAACGTGCTCGTTACCGAGCACGTAATCGACTTGACATGAGAAACGTTTAAAAATTAAGGTAGATTCTCTGATACCCATGAGGTACCATACCTTTGTACACGTGGACTACTCAAAATATTACAGTTGAATTATTTAAGTCTAAATTAAAAATGATATACCTATTTGGACCAATCAAATGAATGACAGGTACGGTACCCCAATTTTTAAATGGGTATCAGAGTTCTCACCTAAAATTAAATGGGTTTTAGTTTGCAAAAAAAATTAAGTGGGGTTTGACTTTTGAGACCCAACTTTTTATTGTCATATACAATGCCTTATCATTTTAATGATTTGAATAAAAAAAATTTGCAAATGTTTTACAAAGAAATGTGAGGAAGATTCCAAATTATTTTTAAAATAGCTACTTTAAAAGTAGCAATTATTTCTGGAATTATTCGTAAGCTTGAAAGAAGGCTATCGTTTCAAGCTAACGTAGCTAGTAGTTTTTTTATAGTATAAGGCAAAATGATCACATTTACATAAATAAAGTATATTACTATTTCATTTCTACATCTAATTTAATTACTTAATTAATTAACCGAATAAATTAATTTCCCCCAGTTCCCTTGCATTTAGGTTTGGGCAAAATGATTTGGTTTGATCGAACCGAACCGAAAATTGATCGAACCGAACCAAAAGTTGGTGGTCGAATGGTTTGGTTTGGTTTAGTTTAAAACCAAAAAAGCGTAAACCGAATAGAACACCGAATATCTTCGGTGTATATATAAACCGAATAGAACACCGAACACCGAGTATATATAAATACTTTGTATTTTTCTTCACCCTTCATCTTTAGGATATAATATAAATATATCATTTAGGCATAAAAAAATACAAATTTAGCATATACTATGTATCATTTTAACTTTTAGACATTTCATACATTCATTATGACAAAGTTAGCTAATACGACGTATTTATATTTTGTTATGTTTTGTACTCTACCTGTATGAGAAGATATTTGGCAATAACAATAGCAAATTACATTTATATTTTTTTACATGATTTATTTGAATAAAATTGTGAATATTACAACATTTGCACCATTGACTCATTTAGTTTCTTTGAATATTTTATGTGATATTATAAATGCTAATCAACTATAAATTCATGTTTTGTGAGAAGTGAATCTTTTCTTAGTGATTGAAAAGATGTTAGATGTTTTAATGTACACGTAATAATATTTTTTTATTTCTTTTTGTATCTTTTATTACCTTGTACATTTCATTTAAAAAATAAATAAAAGAAGATGAGATGGACGACTACTTTCATTATCCAATTCTAAAATATAGAACTTGGTCGAATTAATAATAAACGGGATAAGGGTCAGTTTGGTCCTCGAAGTTGCAAAAAAGGGGTCAAATAAGTCCTTATATAGAAGATTCTATCCGGACGTGCCATTTGAGGTGGCTCCCGGTGGAATTTTGTGAAATTTTTTTTTTGAGCATCTTATTCATTAAGTCTAATTTACTCATACCAAATTTCAGCTAAAAATTCAATCGGGAAGACATTCAAATAAATTCTTGAAGATAACAGGCTTAACTGCGCTTTTAACGGCACAGTTATCTTCAAGAATTCATTTGAATGTCTTCCCGGTTGAATTTTTATCTGAAATTTGGTATGAGTAAACTAGACTTAATGAATAAGATGCTCAAAAAAATTTATCACAAAATTCCACTGGGAGCCACCTCAAATGGCACGTCCGGACAGAATCTTCTATATAAGGACTTATTTGACGCCTTTTTTGTAACTTCGAGGACCAAACTGACCCTTTACTCAATAATAAACATAAGAAATCGAATCAAGTCGTACTAAATTGAACCTAATAATTTTCACTTTGATAAACCGAACCGAACCGAACCAAAACCAAACCGAAACACAAATGGTTATAGTTTGGTACAAATTTTCCCAACCCGAATAAACCGAAACCGAAGAAAACTGAATCATAAACCGTTTTGCCCACCCCTACCTTGCATAATCAAGGCAATTCGTTGGAGACGGGATCCGTCCATGGTGGTGGTAGCCGGCGGCAGCAACGGATTTCTGGCGGCTCAGTGGTTTACCGAAATAAGACTTATCAGTCCATTTCTACCTCTAATTAAATAATTAATTGACTTAATTAATTGCCCCATATTTTTCTTGTGTAACCAAATCAGTTTGTCGGTGGAGCAAACTCCGGCAACGACGACGAAGGAATTTTGGTAGATCGGGAAATAATTTCTGGCAAATTTAAGGCAGCGAGTTGAATACCACAAGAACTTGTAAGAGAGAACTGCGGTTTTACATAAATGTGTGTGCTCATATTATTATCGATCACCTAAAACTAATAATAATAAAATAAAACATAATAATGTTTAATCTTGCAGGCCACAGCAATAGAGTGGGCTTTTAGATCTAATGTTATGTATTATCATTTGTTGTAATAATAATACTAGTATACTACGTAGGCATGGACCGGTTCCGGTCGGCCTGGCCCGACCCGCCACTGTGCGGGCCCGGACCGGCCTGGGAACCAGGCCTAGGACCGGCCCGGTGTGTTAGAGTGATCCAGTTCCGGGCCTACCCTTCCTTTGGAACCAGCCGGGCCGGGCCCGGTTCGGGCTCATTTAATTTTTTTTCGTTTTTTTAAATTTTTTTTGTTTTCCCCGTGTTGGGTTAGGTGTTTTGGGGGGTTGGGGGGTGAAGGGGGGGGGGGTCTGGGGTTAATTAGAAAAGCAAAAAAAAAAAAAAAAAAAAAAAAAAACGGGCCGGTTCCGGGCCGCCCCCAAAAAATAAAAGCCCGGTTTGGACCGGCTCGGAGCCCGACCCGGCCCGGAACCAGTCCATGCCTATTACTACGCATAATTATTGTGATCACATCAATGAAGCAAAATAATGTTAGAGGGGTGCATTTTTTCGTGTTAATTACGCAACCACTAGATTGTGATCACAATCTAGATATATACTTTTTGAAGATTGACAAATTAGTCCACAAATATCCAAATATCAACTACGGAGCATTCAACATTGGAAATATTATGAGAAATCACTACATACAGGTATTTGAATAGAGATCACTATCTAATTTTTTTTTTTTGATACTCCACAAATATCAACTTCGGAGTATTTAAAAATGCCATTCCGCAGCAGAAAAACGCCATCCAGAATTTTTTATGATTGTTGTTGCTAATTATGTTTACTGATCAGTGTGAGATAATGAAACAGGTTGCCCTCTAAGGAGTCTTGGCAGGTATATTTATAATAAGAGAGTAGTGTTTAAAATACATAAATATCCCTAGTCTATTACACCCCCTCAAACTGTGCGGGAGATACAACGCGCAGGTTCAGGTTGTCTTTTAAAAAATGAAAACGTTGACTAGGAAGACTCTTAGTGAAAATATCTGTCAGTTGTAGGTGAGTAGGAACATACTGAACTAAT